CATCAAAAGCTCTATAATTTACAAAGAGCAGCTTGCTGTTACTGTGTACTTTTTGTTTTCAAAGGTCTGCGAGGGCAACTCTAATTGTCGCAAAAATTGAGCACAGAGAATTTTTTTTAAATAGTATTTTTAACAATGACCGATCAAGAGCAAACTCAATTTGATAACACTAATGAAACAAAATTAGATGATGATTCAATAATGAAATCAATAAGTATATAATTTAAAAATGAATCTTCAGAAACAACCACATCAATTGCAATTTGTTTTAGGTGAACAAATAGCTGATATCAATGTTGATGATATTGCATTAGATTCTGATGAAGAAGCAGCATCAAAACAAGAATGGAAATTTTGGCGTACACAACCGGTAACACCCTTTGGAATAAAAGTATCTAAGGGCAAAAATGGACCTATAGAAGAAAATAAATATATTGAACAATTAAAACAAGAACCATATGAATTACCAGATGGGTTTTCATGGAGTGGAATTAATGTTTCCCATGATGAACAATTAAAAGAATTGTATACATTCCTATATGAAAATTATGTAGAAGATAGTGATAATATGTTTCGTTTTGATTATTCAATGCCATTTTTACAATGGTAAAACTGTGAAAATTTTAAGAAAGAAATTAATTGTTGTGATTATTTTTAGGGCTTTGTGTTCACCAGGATGGACTCCAAAATGGCATGTAGTTATACGTCATACAGAAAGTCGTGAACTAGCAGGATTTTATAGTGCTGCACCTATTAAAATGAAAGTTTATGACAAGTAAAATGTACAGAGAGAAGAATAATTCGTTTGATTGTGATCTTCTTCATAGAGAAGTGCCAATGATTGAATCAAATTTTTTGTGTGTTCACAAAAAATTCCGTTTGAAACGTTTGACGCCTATGTTAATCGCAGAACTATATCGACGGGTTAATTTAAGTGGAATTTTTCAAGGTGTTAATACAGCTGGCGCTCTCTTACCCGGAGCTGTTAGCAAATGTTTGTATGTATATTATTCATTTATAAAACTTCGGTCTGATCAATATATGAAAACAATTTCTTATAAAAATAGATATTGGCATCGATCAATTAATATCGAAAAATTATTGTCTGTCGGATTTTCTCAGTTGGGTAGACGTATGACATTAGAAATGATGAAAAAAATGTATGAATTACCCGAAGTAAATTTCTATTTTTGAATTTAATTGAAAAAATATCACTAAATTTAGACAACACACGTGAGAGGCTTTCGTGATATGCGCGAATCTGATATACCGAAAGCATTTACTCTACTTACTCAAGTAAATAAGATAAATCTTTATATTTAATCAAGAAAATCTTTCTTTCCTTTTGTTAAAGTATTTAAAAAGATTTGACCTATCACCTGTACTCACTCAAGAAGAATTTCAATATCTTTGTCAAAATCGTTCAAATATTGTTAGCTCATTTGTTGTTGAAGTATATACAGAAGACAAGATTG